AGGGAGAGAGAGGGAGATGGACGTATAATGGCCAGAAAGAGACGGACGTACTGGCAATGTGGAACGTACGAAACGCCAATTAAGAAATTGACAAATTAAAGCTGAATGCTTTTTATAATCAAAACAGACAAAGCAAATAAGACCCGGCAAAAGCAGGTTCGAGGTTGCTTGAAATATTTATGAATTTTTATTGTTTTTATTGCCACGAGGCAACTGGTTGTTTAATTTGTTATATATATATATTTATATCTATGGTATATTTAACATTTTTGCATATATTCTTGCTGAGAAATAAAACTTTCCATTTTCGCAAGGCATTTACTTTTATTTCCCTACTTGTTTATTTTGCCTTGCCTCGTTTTTTTACTCTTTTATTTGGCTTTACCTTTTTTTCCAGCAATTTATATATTTTTTGTATGGCCTTTTTTATTTCGGTAGCCAATCGGCAGCGGCAAATTAACGCAACGGCTTGTTACAGACGCGTTTTACAATCTCGGCGCATTTTTTGCCCGATTGCAGGTTGCACGTTGCACGTTGCAGGTTGCTGCTGCTGCTGGACGGCAGCAGCAATCAATCGATCAACCGATCAAGCGATCAAACGAGCGAAAGCTGGCTGCGGCCATGTCAAAGTCCTTTAGCCGCAGCAGGAAGGCTAAAAGCCTGCAAAAGGAGGAAACCAACCAAGAAAGAGAAAAATAATAAAAGAAAAAAAGAAAGACAGAGCCAAGAGATCGCCTCGAGGACCAATCGATCGATGATGGCCGATGCTGCCTGCATTCCGAAATGACAAAACAGTTAAAAAATAATTAATTGCGTTGCCTTAAATGGCCTAAAGCGGTTTGGCTTTTTGTTCCCTCAGGCTTGTTTGCAAGCTGCAACACAGCAATACAGCCTTTGCAGGTGAAGAAAATCTATATATAAATATATATTTTATAATAAAATTATACTTCTATAATATTTAACATAATATTTTTAATGACATTAAAGAAATTATATTATTTACTTGACTAATTTCCCTTACATTCCTTTAATTTAAAGCTAAAATCAGGGCTCTCTTTGATAGCTTAAAAATACTAAGTAGTCTTTGGGTAATAATTATTTTTCTCAGTGCACTGGCCAGTACAATGCGAGCAACAAGTGCACATGTGGCTGCGATGCGTTGGCCGCTGCTCATTGCCCATTTTGGCCATTGTTTTTATTGCCCGCCTGGAGCGGCCATCCGGCAGCCACTTTAGGGCTTATTAATGATGGATTCTCCTCAATTCTCCTTGGCGACTCTTGTTTTATTGCGCAATGCAGCAGCAGCAGAAGCAGCAACAGCAGCGAGTCTTGTCTTCCCCTCCCCCCACCAGAAAATGAGCCCAATGACGAGCAGTTGGCTTTGGGCTTTGGGCCTGGCCAAAAACACAAGGTACCTGGTCGAATGTATGTCATCCTTATTGTCCCCCCATTTGACAAATGGACAATTGTCGGAAAGGGGGTGAGGTTGTGGCAAAAAGGGGGCAACTCTCTGGTGAGAGCTCGGTACTAAACGTTTTGGCAGCTTGGCGACTAATTTGGGCCAACACAGCCAGCAAAGGAACGAGGATCACGTTAAAAAAGGAACTTCTTAGAGGGGTTGAAAAGTACACAAATTGGTTTAATTATTTTTAAGTTCTTTGAAAAAAGTAATTCTAATACAAATATATATATTAAGTTGTTATAAAAAAAACAATTGTAAAATGTAAATAGGTTTAAGTGAAACTTTAAGTAGACAAATCAATAATTCCAATGGAAGTTTCTTATGTTTGCTGTTCTAAGCAGGTTCTTATACCTTACAAATTTTATCTAAAATAAATTCTTCTGTTTGATTGATTTTAATTCTAAATTTTCTACGCGTAAAACCACATCTTACACATTTTTCCTGAAGTTAAGAAAGTTAGTTCGAGGATAATATAATAATAAAACCATAAATATGATAAGTTCTAAAAAAAATCAGAGAGTAACTCACTACCTTTAACCATTTCAAATCATTTATAATAATAAAAATAAAACTAATTTCGAATAGAAAGCGAAATTTAGTTCATTTTATTTGCTTCAAAGTGACATTGAACCTGCTGAATTCAGTCGGAGGAAAAAGTTTACAGATTTCCATCGGGACTGCTGATCTTACATAAACCAATCCCTGACTCATATAATATAAATCAAGATTCTTATCGTTGGAACGAACACAAGCCGACAAACCGAGTGCCACAAATAACAAATTTTCACTTTTATTTAACAAATGATCTTTGGGGGACAACCCCAAGAGATGAGATCGAAACAAGTTGATCGTTATGGCTTTGTAAAGTATCCATAACGGCTTTCAGAGCTGACGACTAGACCGAAATTGGCAGTTGGGTCCACAGACGCATCGTGGCCAAGAGATTCCGGCTATTTATGTAAGCCAACGCCCTGGAGAAGATTACGGATCTCTCTGTCTGCATTGGCGATAAATTTCAATCAAATCCGAACACAAAACATCGCCCCACTCAGAAGAAGAAGATCAGATCATCATCGTTCGTTGCATAATTAGAAAACATCTAAATTTTCATTTTGTATTTCCAAAGATAGAGAGAGAAAAGAACACTAAATTAGATTTACGACGCCCCGATCAAAGGCAGCCAGGGCATCGCGGAACGCAATTAAAATCAGCTTAATAATTCTTCCAGAAGAAAGCAGATCAGATACACATATAGCCAAAAGTGTGATAATAATTTTATGAAAGACCCCACCACCAAACGAGGCAACAAATCAATTCCCCACAATGCCAATAAAAACAGATTTTGAAGAAGGCATTTACATTCATGGACGAACATAAATCTCCAGCAGCAGGAACAATGCCAAAAAACGTAAGAATTAAAGAAGATATCCAAACTATTTTCATTATGAGGCCATGAATGAGTTCCCGAGGCGAGGAATGAATGAATGAATGTAGCTAGAGCCTCTGGCTGTTTTTTTTCGGGGTTTTCATTGTTTGGACCCAGTTTTTGGCGGCGAGTCAATTTTTGGAGGACCTCACAATCGGTAAGAGCATAGAATTACGGGCGATTAGGTGTTAAACACACACAATTCGTTGGGCATTCCGCTCTCCCCTCTGACATAATTTATGATCCGTGGAACATTGCCCGAACCCTCTTCCACTGTCCAAGAAAAGGGGGTTCCACTGCCATAGAGTTGTAGAATTCTGCAGGTAGTTGGACCCACCTCGGTGGTCGATGATACACATAGGTTCTCCCTCTGAAATACCCAAAAGGCTACCAGATTTTCACTCAAGTGCAATTCCTGAAGCATGCGCCGTTGGACACTCGACTGCAAATTGCAGCGAAAAACTGCAACTATGCACTGGAAATTATTTTTGTTAAATTTCTTTGCATGATTTTCTAGAGCATTTTATATGAAAATATCAACCACTTGAATTTTATTGTAAAAACAAAGAGTCATACAGCTTTTTCAGTAGGTAGGCTGCATGTTTTTCATGAGTATTTAATGTTAGACTAAAGAGTGTATGAGATTCAAGATGCGTAGCGTAATTTGATATTTTTAATAGAATTTTTCAATTCTATTAACACATCCTAACACATTTTAAGCATTATACATTATTTGCTTAGATTTTTAAGACCCTTTTTGATATTCCAATAAAAAATAAAAGCGGCAAATGTATCAAACTTGGTTTAAGTTGAACCTAAATGATGGTTTTTTAGCTAAAAAATAAGATATAGTCAATAAACCATTAAAATCTTATTAAAAGCATATTATATTTAGAAAAAGAAACCATTCCTTCAGAATTTTCTTTTATATTTCATTAAAATAATGTTTAACCCAAATTTTTATATATCTCACAATGCATTTTATTTAAATTTACACAAACTTGAATATATATTTCTTGCTGTGCAAATTAAATTACTTTTTCGTTGGCGCCTCGGCGCCGCAATTAAGCAGAAATCAGGAGGCAAAGTACAACCGAAAAATAAAAAACTAAAGCAGAGCAAAAATTAAGGTTAATGCAGGCCGTGGTCCGCTAATTAAGATATGGTTGCCTGGCCACGAACGCTCCACTGATTCCCGATTCCCGATTCCCGATTCCCATGCTCCTGGCCTGTCCCGGCTGCCTGCACCTTTCGACAAGTCATTGAGCTGTTAAATTTATTTAATGTCCGCACAATGAACGGCGAGAGCATGTTGCCAGTGGCTTTGTTATTAATTTTTATTGCCGAGCGATTATTGAGACAAGTTCATTTAGTCCATGGATTCCGTATTATTCGCTGGAATTGTCCGAGTCACGGATTCCCAGGATACCGAAGAGATACGAGAGAGAGATCACAAGATCAACAGCCTGCCTGCTGTGCTATTGTCAGCAGGTCCTTCTTCTCCTTTTTTGCCAGAGCTCAATGAGAGGTCCTTCATTCATAGGGTTTTTCAGTTTGGTTTCCATTCACTCGATTTTCCCTGTTTTCCTTTTTGTGGGTGTGTCGCCAAATGGATTACACTAATGCGACAGTTTGTCCCACAATTTAATGCACTCGCCGCCGCACACTCGAGGATTTAATGATGTTCCTTCCCATCGAGCTCAAGTGTGTGTCGTCGGCAAGAGATTCGCAAAAAGGATTTTCGAAAGACAACGAAATCCTTTCATATGCTTCAAGAACCCTTCATATTTCATATATCGTCGGCACTTGAGAGCCACAAGTGTTTATTGTCTGGCTGAGATCCTTTCTCTGGAGATCCTGTAACCGATCGCCGATCCTATCCTGTTCAAGTGCAGGTGAGGGTGAGAGCACGAGCCCCGTTTCGGTGACTAAGCGACTTTTCGGCTCAAGGACCTGTAGTTTCTGAAGAGATGCTGGAACTGATGCGCTTAACTCGTTGACTTTGTTTGCGATCTGCTCGATCATCCGGGCCTGGCAGGATCAAGTGAGGTCCTTGCATACTCCAGTTACTCAAGGGTTGCCAACACCCCCCGAGAGAAACCAAGGATAAAATTAAGGGATTACAGATTTTTAATGCTTAAAAAACACTTTAAAGTAAAGTATTCTCCCTACTTTCGGTACCACATCTGGAGCGTCTTCATGCGCTTGATTTTCTTTTGCAACTGCAGAATTCCGTACATGAGGGCCTCCGCCGTGGGAGGACATCCTGGCACATATATGTCCACCGGAACGATGCGATCGCAGCCACGGACCACAGAATAGGAGTAGTGATAGTAGCCACCGCCATTGGCACAACTCCCCATCGAGATGACCCACCGGGGCTCCGGCATCTGGTCGTAAACCTTACGCATGGCCGGTGCCATCTTGTTGGTCAGTGTCCCGGCCACAATCATCACGTCCGACTGGCGGGGAGAGGCCCGGAAGACCACTCCGAAGCGATCCATGTCATAGCGAGGGGCGGCAATGTGCATCATCTCGACGGCACAGCAGGCGAGGCCAAAGGTCATGGGCCACAGGGAGCCCTTGCGGCCCCAGTTCAAGAGGTCATCCAGCCGGGCCAAGGTCCACTCCGACCAGGATTTCTGATCCCGGCCAAAGGGAGAGTAACCAGCTTTGGGCGGATCCTTGAAGGAAGTGTCAGTGACTGGCATGGTCTTTTGCCCACGAGCTAAAGGATATGCAATCATCGCTGGCAAGCGACTCAGGAGCAACTTCCTGGCAACCTGAATACGCAACATCCTTGGCGGATTTAAAAAAATATATATTACCTTGTTTATAGTTGCAGAAAAAAAAACAGCGTGTGAGAAACTTACTTTCTGATTTTAGGGAATGGTCCAGTTATGGCAAATAGTTCTAGTTTGAGAACTTTGACAGATTTTAGAAAAGGTAATGCGATCTTGGGTAAATTTGATATGAAACTATAATAATTGTTTACAAATATCTAAAACCTTTTTAATCTTTTTAAAAGCAATATACTATTAATATTCTTGGAGATACTTAATATTTAAGGGGCAATAATAATAATTTATGATTGCACCTTAAGACGTGACCCCTTTCAGCTCGTTGTTCTATGGATTTCTTTAGAGTTCCCATACCCATCAATGGTCTCTCTCTTCCTGGCGTCAAAATCAATCCAAAATCATAGACACTCAACGGCCTGGGCGGACAGCGAACAGGAATCACTCTCTGGGCTCACGGGCCTCATAAATACGCATGAGAAGTCTCCCATTCATGCCACATTCGCACCGAGATCGTTTAAAAGGAAATTATTAGCTGATTGCAGCAGCAACAGCAGCGCCAGCCCCCGCTGCTGATGCTGATGATCGGGTATTTAATGGGACCCGGGGACCTGGGGACACTGGGGACATTGGGGACATGGAGCTGGGACACGGAACCTGGGCCATGGAGTGGATGCATCCGCGGAGAGCTTACGCAATCGATGCTTGGGCTCATTACGAAGGCGAACATAGAGAAAGGCACTTGGAGAAATCATGTGAATCAAGTGAATTTATTATATTATTTGATGTTCATATTTATATATTAATAATATATGCAGTTTTTAAAGACAAAGCAAGAGAAAAGTGGTCTTTACACTAAGTAAGATGAAATATTGTTTTAAAACCCTACATTACAGATGTTTCTTTAAGATTTATTAAATGAAGGTACAAATTTCCATAAGAAAATTCTTTATAGTTTCAAAATAATATTGCTTTTCCTAAGCAAATGTAATCAACTTCCTTCAAAACTCATTATAATGAACTTGTAAGAAATATTCCCAGTTTGATTATGTATAAGATATGTCATTAAAAACATAAATCAATCTGCTCTTGTGGATTTTATGTTTTCAAAATATTCATAAAAACACATTTAAACTTAAACCCAGATTCTCAAAGCTAATGAATTTATTTTTCAGAGTGCTTTTTGGCGTAGTCATGGCGCTGTCGCAGCTGGCAGTCAATATTGCTCGGTTGGAAAAATGGCAACTGCCTGCCTGCTGCTGGCTGTGTCTTTTTGCGGTTTTTAATTAACGCTTTTGCACAATGCTTGTCTAATTACGCCTTTGGTGCCACACAGGCAAGCCACTAAATCATCAATATTGTCGCAGCAGTTGCAGCTGCCTTGAGAATCCTTCAGGATGAGCAATAGAAAAACGCATGGTCGGGGGTTAAAAATAATAAAAAATACAGGAGACAAGAGACAGGAGACAGGCAGACAAGGCAAACGACGATCATCGCATGGCAATTAGGCATTGGCTGCATTTGATGCATCATTAATTGAATTAAATTTGCATTTAAATGTGAGCCTATGAATGGCAAGTCAGTTTCCCAGCCAACTCGTCTGGAGTGGACCTGCTCCTGCTGCTGCTTCTGCTGATGAAGTCATATATAGGTAGGACCACTGCTGTTACGCAGCAAAAATGTCAATTTAAAAAATAAAAACTAAATTGACAATGCAAAATAGATTAATACACAGATATGTCACCCAAACTGGAGAGCGGAATCAAAACGAGTTTTAAGTTATATCGTCTTGTATTGTACAAATTAAAAAAACAAAGGTCACTTAGACATCCTCCTCACTGGAATCCTCACCTTCCAGTTCATTACCCGAGGCCGGTGCCAAAGTCTCATAGAAGGACCTCACCACGAACATGGAATAGCCCATGGCGACTGAAAATTGGGATAATTGTATTGAAAATTACAAACTTAAACTTTGTATTAGCTCACCGACATGGAGCAGGAAATAGGTATGGACCAGAGCGCTATATATTGTCAGCATAAACACTGAAAAGTGCACCAATAACCATATGCCAACCATCCGATGATTGCCCTAAAGTGCGAAATGGCCTTATAATTTGCTAAAGGTCGTAACTTGGTCAAGACTTACGTTGTAGGCGCCGTAGGCCAACATGACGTTAAAACACCCCATGATGTAAAAGATTAACGAGCCTACCGCCACACAGGTTTTGATTGACATCTTCCGGAAGAACCAGATGAGATCCTTATCATATTTGGCGTCGATCACCATCTGAAATCCTGTGGTGCCAAGGATAAAGTAACCAGTACTGAAGGTAATACCCACGATAACCGTGCCCCACTTAAGGGGTATGCAAAACAGGAAACTCTTTAAATGCATACTTGAAATTTGTATGTACACAATTTTTTGGGGAAATTCAAGCCCTTGTCGATAAGGTAAAATTTTGAAAACTAATGATCGAGCTCATGATTTAATAGTTTTATCTCTAAAGCTTTTCAAAAGTGCTGCTTTATGCATAAAAAGCCAATTTAAAATGACTCAAATAAGTTGGTTTCATTCGTTCGCTGGGGACAACGCAAAATAGACTATCATCAATTTAAAATCAATATGTCACATAAATTGGAAGGGAAATCAACGCCAAAAGCCGCCAACAACAACAACTACGACAAAAGTATTGGCCAAGTTAAAAATGTGGTGAAAAGGAGACAGAGAGAGATGCGATATAAATGTAAGTAAAGGCCAAGAAGGATTGCAATTGTGGGCAGTGCAGTTTTGGATACTCTTTTAATAGAAGAAATGTTTTTTTAAATATTATTATTAATATTTATCAAATTAAACAACTTCCTCATACAGCAGTCTTTTAGGTTGAATTCTATTTAATAAACCTGGTTTTAGCCAGTTTTAATTGAGAATTATAGTGCTAATAAAGAAGTAACAACCTCGATTCTTAACAGAGCCTCTAGTTCGCTTTACGAATATATAAAATCTATGCTTAATTTATAAAAAATTGGTAATGTTTCATTACTATATATAATCATTATCAAGTAACAACAGGGGGACCACTTTTTTGTTATCTAAAATCTCAAATGTTCTTTCGAACTTCTTCAAACTTTATACCTGAGCTAAGATCTTTAAGAACCCTTGAAAGGGTATTTTGAAACTGGACAAGGACTGGACTGTTGCAGTGCGATTACTTTGCTATAATTCGTCGTCATCGTTGCCGCAGCTTCTGCTTTTTCGCAGCAGTTGCTGCAATTGTAGCTGCTGCTGCTGCTTCTCTGCGGCTGTTGCTGTTTTGGTGACATCGTCGCTGGGGTTTTATTGGCCACTTTTGGCCACATCAGCGACAACGATGAGACAGGCGAGCGAGCGCGCTGCTTCCTGTCTTACATATGGTATATGTACATATATATATATATTCGTAGGATGTCCTCCTCCGAAATTGTGGCTATATCTTCGAGGGTATATGTGTGTGAGTTGGACACAACTTGCCATTATTATGCGCATGTTGCATTGCATTGCATTGCATTGTTGTTGCCGGATTTGTCAGCGATCCTCAAAGTGATAAAAATTGCTCGTAAATCCTTAACGAGTGGAACTAACACGCGCTATACTGGCTCCCACAGAGTCACAGCAACTCCAACAGCAACTCCACAAATACTCCACACCACATTTGTCTTTTTAGCGAGCTCCTAAAACAACATGCCAAATGGAACACAATGGCCGATCCTCATCCGCAGACCGAAATGGACGCGCTCATCTCTTGATCTGCATTGTTAGCGGGCAGCAACAGGAGCAGCAGCAGCAGCAACAGCAGCAGCAGCAACAGCAACAGCAGCAGCAGCAGCAGCAGCAACATCACACAGCAAAAAACATACCAAAATGGCTTCCTTCTGAAAGATTGTATTAATTTAAATTACTGTTGATCTTAGGAAAAAAGTTTATTATAAAGAACCTGTCAAATGTTTTGTTGTATTACTCCATTGCAATTTAATTGCAATACATCTTGATTTGTTAATTATTTTGTTAAGTGCATCAACAGCTTCAGCTTTCCGTTTTCATTGTGACTTTTGCATTCAACTGAACCCACAGACTTTTCCCCAGTTTATGCATTACCAAAACACCAAATTGACTCCATTAAATTCCAATTGTGCCAATGTTATTTCTAGTTCGGGGGACAGGAGGAAGATCCACTGCAAAAATGGGTTGCTCTTGCAACAATGTAAGACCAAAATGCTCATTGAAAATATTTTTAAATATAGTAAAAGGAAATAAACCAAACTAAAAGGAACCAACTTGCTTTACCCAAAAGATAGGCCACAATTAAGCCTTAATGTTCGCCCCGATAAACGCTAATTTAACGGCCCCACACAAGAAGTAAAATTCAAGTTACAGGTTAACGTTAACAAATCAGATCGCGGCCATATGGTTAACCAATTAAAGATGCAAAAGACAAAAGCCAGTGGAAACCCAACTGACGACAATAAAATCAACAAATTTTCGTATTTAACGATCGGCAAATTAACATACATTTACACACATGCCACTGAGGGGCAGGGGGCAGCGAGGCAAACGGGTTTTTGGCCACCGTCACTCAGAGTGTTTGACCACCCAAAATGGGTGTGCCAGTGTTGTCTCTATAAAAAAAGCTTAAAGACTTGCTCACAAAGAACACCCAGAAGGCCATCGAAAAGCACACAAAAGTAGCTAAAGGTAAGAATGATGATCGCGAGGTCACTGTTGGAGGAACTATACTTTTTGGTAAGATGTCATATATGTTGGTAAGGAATTAAATACCAAGATGCTGAAAATAAATTAAGTATTACAAATAAAACAAATTCTACTTCCCTATTTTTACCAAACTTTTAGGCCCTTTTCAATGCCTTGATCACTGACAATTATAAGATCAAAATGAAGCCTTATATATTATATCACAAAAATAAAAATATATATCTAAAACTCTCGCTAAAAATATAGCCTTTAAAAAGCTAAACTTGCATCGCTGCGAGACCAAGGGACATGGAAGTGCTCCACTGGGCTGTATAAGTAGGTGTTGACAGTTCGTTATAATAATAACTACTTTAAAATAAAGCCCCAGACCAGAGTCGATAATTAATTACGAACGATTAATGACAATGTTATCTAAGCGCATGACAAACGCCGCGGGAGGGGAAAAGCAGAAAATGGAGATGAAAATGCTGCTCCGCTCGCTGGCGTTTCGCTTGAGTTCAGATGAATTCAAGCATAACGCCTCCCGCCTTTTATTTGTATTCGGGGGCGTGGCAAACGCCTGCTGTTTTTTAAGCTAAATGTTTTGATTAATTTGCGAATAATTGGATAAAAAACTTTATATTTGGTGGGTGAATAATTAGAGACTATATTAACTTTTCAATTGGATTTCCTAAGGGGAATACTTATTATATTTTGTCTTATAAAAATCAGAAATGAACCCTAAGATTATATACTAAATAAAGCACTTAATATTTTTCTTTTATATGTAAAATAAAAATGTTTAATTATACGCCAAACTTTAAGAGCTCTGTGTAATATTTTAAGGACAACTGGAATTTCTATAGCATATATGTATGTAGTTTTAACATTCCTCCCCTTTCTCTTGTTTCCCCTCCTAAAAAACAACCCAATGCGGCTTGCTTTGATCGAGTTCTTTGTGGCTATTATGTAAAACACACAAAATCTCTTTAAAACACAATAATGTCACTCGCATGCCCATCACTTACCCCAAGAACATTTGTTTTTGTCTTTGCATTTCCTTCGTGTGTTTGTTTTTGCCATGTATTTGTTTTGGTTTTGTGGCTCCGCTTCTCTTCTCGACCGCACTTTCACTTTCCCGGATAATTAATGAGCGCCGCGACCCGAAGTTTCCCTAAGTAGTGTAGGGTGCTCCGCGAGTCCCTCCTAATAGATAATTACGTTGTTTCATTAACAGCATTAGCTGCGACAATATTTCACCCGATTTACTCCAAGTGGAGTCCCTCCGCTGCCGGAGGTGTCTCATCTCCCTCTTGATTTATCGACATTGCCCGGATAGTTCGGATGCTGCATTCCGTGGGTGGCAACTAGAGATGAACTAGATTCACATTTTTACTTTACTTTACGCGGGTTTACTAAGTTTAATTTATAATTACTCACTAAACATTGCACGAAACGCAATGTAAACAAAGAACAATGTGCACACACCTATTGGGAGAAGTATTAATTTTGCAACTGGCAAAAATACCAAAAGTTTGTTTACACATACGAAAAAATACCGCTGTCAGTGTGTACACCCCAAAACAAAATCTATGACCTAGAAAAAATTGTTAAATTCAATTCTTTTGAAATATTTATCTTATAATTATTCGCAGACCAGTTTTCCGTCTAGAAAAATATTATAAATTAATTATAAATATTAATTAGCACAGTCCTTTTACTTTACCCGATGAAATCATAATTAAAACGAAAAGATAGAATAGAAATGTATAAATTTGTGTAACTTTCCAGGGTATTATTATTTTAGTCATAAGCTGCTAACAATGTGAAGGAGTCATTTCCGACCCTATAAATCATATATATTCTTGATCAGCATCAACTGGGTAAATTATCAAAATTAAAATTTAAAAAATTGTCAAAATTTTAAAATTTGTAAATTGTAAAATTGAGTATGAAGAATTATTAAACTATTAAAAACTAACATAGGACTGCTTTCCGAATTGAAATTAAATGTTTTTTGCCTAAGTTATGAGATTTTTAATCTTCTAATTGTTAAACAAATTGTCATAAAAAAAGATAAATATTATCGACTGAAAATTGGTATTATAGTTTTAGTTAGAAGCTTCAAAGGAAGGAGTGAAGGAGTCATTTCCGACCCTATAAATCATATATATTCTTGATCAGCATCAAAAACCGAATTGATCTAGACATATTTGGGACCAAAATAAATTGATAAATTTTTTCACATTTTTATAAGTGGTTAAATTATCAAAATTAAAATTTAAAAAATTGACAAAATTTTAAATTTTGTAAATTTTAAAATCGAGTATGCAGATTTTTTAAACTAATAAAAACTAACACTGGACTGCTTTCCGAATTAAAATTAATTGATTTTTGGCTTAGTTATGAGATTTTTATACATTAATTTGTAGAACAAATTTTCATATAAAATATAGAGAAATATCTTCTGAAAGAATGATATTATACTTGTAGTCAGAAGCTTGTAACACAAGAAGGAGTCATTTCCGACCCTATAAATCATATATATTCTTGATCAGCATCAAAAACCGAATTGATCTAGACATATTTGGGACCAAAATAAATTGATAAATTTTTTCACATTTTTATAAGTGGTTAAATTATCAAAATTAAAATTTAAAAAATTGACAAAATTTTAAATTTTGTAAATTTTAAAATCGAGTATGCAGATTTTTTAAATTAATAAAAACTAACATTGAACTGCTTTTCGA